ATGCTTATATCACTGATTACCTGTTTTTATTTTTAGAAGTCACTAAAAGCTATAAATTTGCCTTAAAGCTCAAATTTAGTTGTATATCAGCAATTCTGAGTAGTATGTTCACTATTATTCAGGTTGAAAATTTTTCTAATTCCTTTGTAATTTATTATTTGATCTATTGTGTACAAGTTTGTTGTTTAATTACAAAAATAGTTGAATTTTCTTAGATATCATACTATTACTAATTCTTAATTTTCTATCCACTATTATTATTTTTTTAAAGCATACTTTGTATTATTTCAATATTTTTAAGTTTAAGACTCATTTAAACATATGGTCTAATTGCAAATATTTGCTATTTCCTAGATGTACTAAATTTTATTGAATCTATAATTTAATTACATTTTCATAAGATAATACTCTCTATAACTTTAAGTATCTAGTTTATCCAGTGCACTTGAAAACAATGTATATTGTGCCATTATCAAGAAAAGTGTTTTACAAATATTACTTAGGTATGGTATTTGAAAGTGTTGTTGAGACTCACTTTAGATCCAAAAACACAAATAGGTTGAAGTGAAAAGACAGAAAAAGACATCCCATGCAAGTGGTAACCAAATGAGAGCTAGGGTAGCTATACTAATAGCAGACAAAATAGACTTCAATCAAAACTGTTATAAGAGATGAAGAAAGACATCATATGTTAAAAAGAGGGTCAATTTACCATGAAGGCATAACAATTACAACATGTGTATCAACATCATAGCTCCAAAATATAAGAGTCAAAAATTACAGAATTAAAGAGAGAAATAATTCTACAATAAATAGCTGGAGACTTCAATATACCACTTTCAATAATGGACAGAACAACTAGACAGAAGATCACTAAATAATAAAAGACTTGAACAACACTATAAATGAACTGACCCTACTGACATATACAGAACACACCACCCAACAACAGCAGCAAACACATTTTTCTCAAGTATGCACAGACAATCTTCAGAGTAGACAGTATGTTAGAGCACAAAATAAGTTTTACTACATTTAAAAACATTGAAATCATAAAAAGTATCTTTTCTATGACAATGTAATGAAACTATAAATCAGTAACAAAAGGAAAACTAAAAAATTCAAAGTATTTGGAAACAACACAATCTTAAACAACAATGGGTCAAAGAAAAGATCAGAACAAAAAGTAGAAAATACATTGAGATAAATGAAAACAAAAACACAACACAAAAAAACTTACAGGATGCAGTAAAAGCAGTGCTCAGAAGGAAATTTATAGACATAACTGCTACACTAACAAAGAAGGAAGGTCTCAAATCAAAAGAAAATGAAAGCCAAAGCTGGAAGAAGGAAAAAGGAAAGTAATAAAGATCAAAGTAGAGAAATAAAATAGCTATTAAATAGATAATAGAGAAAAATCAATAAACCCAAATTTTAGTTCTTTGAAAACACCAAAAAAACTGACAAAATTATAGCCAGATGATAAAAAGAAAAAAGAATCAAATTACTAAAATAAAAAATAAAATTGGGGATGTTATTTCTAATTTCATAAAAATAAAAAGGATCATTAGAGCACACTATGAACAACTGTATGACAAATAATTACATAACCTATATGAAATGACAAATTCCTAGAAGCACACAAACTATCCAGACTGCATAATGAAGAAATAAAAATAAAAAATATGAACAGATTAATAATTAGTAAGGAGATCAAATCAGTAATCATTAATCAAAACTTCCCAACAAAGAACATCCCTGGACCAGAAGGCTTTCCTGGTGAATGCTATCAAATATTTTAATAAAAATAAACAACAGTTCCCCTCAAACACTTCCAAAACATTAAGGAAGAGGAAACACATCCTAATTCATTTCATGAGGCCAGGAATACTGTGATACTAAAGTCAGACAGATACACAGAAAAAGAAGCTACAGACCAATATCTCTCATGAATATTGATGCAAAATCCCTCAATAAAATAATAGCAAACCAAATTTGGCCACATATGAAAAATATTATACCCCGTGACCAAGTAGAATTTATCTGTGGAATGTAAAGAGATTCAATATACAAAATTAATCAATGTAATGCACCACATTCGGATAATTAGGGGGGAAAACACATTATCATCTCCATTGATGCAGAAACTGAAAAATTAATAAAACACTCAACAAACTAGGAATAGATGGAAACCTCCTCATTTTAACAAAGGCCATAAAAAAAAAAAAACTATAGCTAACATCATACTCTTTCACCTAAGATCAGGAAAAAGGCAAGACTGCCAGCTTCCAATGCTTCTAATTCAACGTAGTACTGGAAGTTCTCGTCAGAGCAATTAGGAAAGAAAGGGCATCTAAATTGGAAAGGAATTAGTAAAAATATCTGTCAGTAGATGGTACAATCTTATATTCAGCAAACTGTAAAGATACACACACACACATACACACACACACACAAATTAGAATAAATAATTCCTAGTAAGAAGATACAAAGTCAACATGCAAAAATCAGTCAAGCCCTGTACACTATCAGTAAGCAACCTGAAATGGAAATTAGGAAAACAATTTCATCTATAATAGCATCAAAAATAATAAAATACTTAGGAATTAACCAGTGAGATGAAAGGCTTGTACAACAAAAATAATGAAAAATGAAAGATCTGTCCATTTTTCAGGCCAATACACTCATTACACTTGAGAAAATTAGAAAAGACTGACAATACCAAATGTTGGTGAAGACATAGAGCAAACAGAATTTTCAAACATTGCTAATATAAATGTAAACTGGTAGAACTTTACTGGCAAACTTTGGCATTATCTACTGAAGCTAAATATGCATAACCTAACATTCAGCAAAATATACATTTTTTTTTGTCTTTATTGATTTGTTGTTGTTTTTTTGAGAGAGAGAGAGAGAGAGAGAAACATCAATGAGACAGAACATCGATTGGCTGTCTTCTGCATGCCCCCCACTGGGAATCAGGCCCACAACCTGGGCATGTGCCTTGACTGGGAATCGAACTAGCGATCTCTTGGTGCATGGGTCAATGCTCAACCACAGAGCCACACCAGCTGGACAAAAATATACATATATAAAATGTTCATAGAAGTATTACTAATAATATCCAAGTTACATACATTAAAGAAAAATGGATAGTGATAGTCATACTATGGAATGTTAAAACTCATAGAACGCAACAAATATACATGAACTACAGCTACCTATTTAGCAGAATGAACCACAGAGACACATAGTGCATGATTATATTTATATCAAGTTCAAGAACAAATCAAATTAACCCATAATAAATGTTCTGGGGGTACATAAGCAGCCTTCTATTTTGGCAGTGTTTTTCTTTTTCTTAGCAGGGTCGTGATAAAATAGGCATAGTTTCTTTATGAGATATCCATTTAACTATTGAAGTACAGTTTGAATGTTTATATCCCCTCAAAATTCATATGTTGAAAACCTAATCTCCAATGTCGTGGCACTCTGATGGGGCCATTGATGGGATTAGTGCCTTTATAAAAGAGGCTTTCGAGTTGCTTCTTCCACCTGTGGGGACACAATGAGAAGGTGTCATTTATGAACCCTGAAGTGGGTTCTCACCAGACACCAATGTACTGGCACCTTGATCTTGGGCTTCTCAGCCTCCAGAACTGTGAGAAATAAATTTCTGTTGTTTATAAGCTACCTAGTTTCTGGTATTTTTGTTACAGCAGCCTGAATTGATTGAGGCATGTACATTTATGATTTAGAACAGTGGTTCTCAAACTGTGGGTCACCTAAGACCATTGGAAAACACATATTTCTTATGCCAATTCATAACAGTAGCAAAATTACAGTTATGAAGTAGCAATAAAAATAATTTTATAGTTGGGGGTCACCACAACATGAGAAACTGTATTAAAGGATCGTGGCATCAGGAAGATTGAGAACCACTGATTTAGACACTTTTTCTGGGTGTATACATGTTATACTTCAGTGAAAAATTTTAAAATGAAAAATGAAGAATACATATTTTAAGCCATATGGCTTATGTTTGTGTATCATGTTCTGGGGACCCAAAGGAAAACTGTTAATTTATAATTGATAATTACATACAGATATAAAATAATTCAGAGATCAAAAATTGGTAGAATAGTCATAGAATCTTGAAAATGAATTGTATCTAAATTCATAGGCCCAACTACTTATTTCTTTTTTTTAACTTAATTTTTTTATTAATTAATTTATTTTTGTCACAGATGTTTCTCCTTCCCCCCCCCCCCCAAACACCCTTTGTACTTCACCTTATTCCAGAGAAATTTTAGGGCATTTGGCATTTAAATTCTATCTGCAACATTCTTGTGAAGTTGTCTTCTAGAAATAAACTAAAAACCAAACCAAGGACTCCAATAAAAATAAAGTGTTAAAAATTGTCTGGAGATATAAGCACTCACTTCTTGGCTACTATTGAATCATAACCATCCACCAAGGAAAAATGGGTGAAAATCATCTAACCCTCCACAAAAATTTGCCCAAAATTTTGTTCATTATATTCTACATATAAGTGTAATCATACAGTACTTGTCTTTCTCTGATTGGCTTGTTTCACTTAGCTTAACAAACAAAATAGAAACAGACTCATAGACACAGAGAATAGAATGGCAGCTGTCAGAGGGGAGGGGTGTTGGGAGCTAGATGAAAAAAGGCCAAGGGATTAAGAGGAAAAAAATATATAGATACAGACATTAGTATGGTGATTACCAGTGGGAAAGGGGGTTGCGGGGAGGTAGGAGAGGGTAAAGAGGGTATAAATGATTATGGAAGGAGACTTGACTTGGGGTGGTGAACACACAGTACAATATACAGATGATGTATTATAGAACTGAACACCTGAAACCTATATAATTTTTTTAACCAATGTCACCCCAATAAATTCAACAATTTTTTTCAATTGCCTGAAAGACCCAACATTTTTCACAGATCTCTATGTACCACAGAAAAAGTGGAGTTACCTTCAACTGGTGTTCCTTTTCCCACACAATAGCTTGAATGAGGGTAAGATAATTGGTGGTGAAAATAAATAAAATTACTAAAGGGATGAAACTACCAAAAAAGGGAAAGAAGGAATCATGATAATATGCTGGGTATGGAAATCTCTGAACAAATACTTGAACATCTCTGAACAGCTTTTGTGAGGCGGCTTGGTTATGATATTTCATGATGGCCTTATCCAAGGCATGTTGCATAACCAGGAACCCTTCAGTGATGTACCCTAAATAAGAAAACAAGGTTTGCTAAGTACAACAGAACAATAAATAGCTGAGCTGAACAATGAAAAGGGCAATAGAAGTATGTTGAGGATAAACAACTAAGTCAATGTTGCAATGAGGCCCTTGCCCTCTAATCTCAGAGCCTGATGTAGTAGGCATAACATTTCAGTTTGGAAAGATGAAAAACACTTCTGGTCCGGCCAGTGTGGTTCGGTGTTGAGCATTGACCCTGCACTAAGAGGTCATCGGTTCGATTCCCGGTCACAGCACATGCCCAGGTTGTGGGCCTGATCCCCAGTGGGGGACATACAGGAGGCGGCCAATCGATGTTCTCTCTCACCGATGTTTCTCTCTCTCTCTCTCCCTCTCCTTTCCTCTCTCTCTAAAATCAATAAAGGAAAAAAAGTTTCTGGAGATATACAGAGGTGATGGTTGCACAACAATATTAATGTACTTTAATGCCACTGATCTGTATGCTTAAAGACGGTTAAAATGGTAAATTTTATTATGAATACTTTACCACAATAAAAAAAAAAGGTTTTAAAAAATTTCACAGAGCAGCTACCATGATTCCCCCACACAAATACATAATTAATACTTTTTTAAAAAATATTCTAATTCCCAGTTTCCCAGAAGTAAAATATTGTGAGTAATCATAGAGTTGCTTTCTGCAATTTCAATCAACTAAATGATAACTGGATTAATTATTGGATAAATAAAGATTTTGATTCTGTACACTTGACATTTGAAAAAGTAAATGAAACCCAACCTGAGTGAGTTATACAAATGTGGTCCACTAAAGCAATGTTATTCAGTGAGCCTTTGATCTATCACAGTATACTCTTACTGGTAGGTGAGTTTACTATAGAAATTAAGAGCAAACACTTAAAGACTCTTATAGAAATTTGGCATTGTTATGACATCTAAAAACTGGTTTTTCTATTTATCTATGTAATTCCTCTATAGATTTTAAATTGAATCATGTGTCATATTTTCTCCCCTCTGAATCTTGCCTTTTAATTTTTTAAGTTTTTCATATTAACATAAGTATTTAATTTTAATAAAGTTCAATTTATCATTTTTTCTTTTATAGACACATTTTGTGTCTACCCCCAAAGTCATAAAGACATTCTTATAAATTTTGTTGTAAAAGTTTTATGATTTTAGCTTTTATATTTACATTTATAATCACCTTGAATTAACTAATTTTGTGTAGGTATGAGTCAGCGATCAAGATTCATTCTCTCCATAGGGATATCAAGTTATTCCATCACAGGCTGTTTATAAGATTTTAATGAATTAATTGGCACCTGCATAGAAAATCAAATGACTGTGTATTAGTCTATTTCCAAACTTGTATGGACTTGTATGTCTGTTTCCTTCACCAAGTTAGGGAAATTTTCTGTCATTATTGTTTCAAATAGGTTTTCAATGTCTTACTCTCTCTCTTCTCCTTCTGGCACCTCTATTATGCAAATGTTGGTACACCTGAAGTTGTTCACACTGTCCTCCTTTTTTTGGATTCTTTTTTCTTTTTGCTGTTCTGACTGGGTGTTTTGTACTTCCTTATATTGCAATTTGATGGTTTGCTTCTTGGCTTCACCAACTCTGTTGAGTCCCTGTAAATTATTCTTTATTTCAGTTAGTGCATCCTTCATTTCTGACTGGTCCTTTTTTATGTTGTTGATATTCTCACTAAGTTCCTTGGAGTTCTCCTTAAATTCCTTGAAAGTCTCACTAAGTTCCTTGAGCATCCTTATAACCAGTGTTTTGAACTCTGCATCTGATTGATAGCGTATCTCCATTTTGTTTAGTTCTTCTCCTGGAATTTTGTTCTCTTCTTTCATTTGGGACATGTTTCTTTGTCTCCTCATTTTGTCTGCTTCCCTGTGTTTGTTTATATATATTAGGTAGAGTTGCTATGTCTCCAAGGCTTTGTAAGGTGGCCTATTATTGTAGGTGTTCTGTAGGGTCCAGTGGCACAGCCTCCCTGATCACCCCAGCTGGGCCCTCGAGGTGCAACCCTAGTGTGGACTGTACATCCTTCTGTTGTAATGGAGTGTTGATTGCTGTTGGCACGACACTGGGAGGGATTTACTCAGACTGATCAGCTGCAAGAACTGGCGGTGCCCATTGACCACTGGCCTCTGACTCCCTTGGAGTTTAAGGGCCCACCACACAAAGCAAGACTTACTTCAGCAGGGCTCTGGTACCGGCTGAGTCCACTCATAAAGTGTGTCACTTGTGGAAGTGGTTGGTGGTCTGAAGCTGTCCACTGGGTGTGCTGGCTCAGGGGCAAGGTCAGCCTCTGCCTCTGTTCTACCCAGCATAAGCTATAAAGTGGTCTGCAGATAGCTGTTTCTTGTCCTGGGTTTGGACCTACCCAGGCAAAGCCAAGTTGTGAGCCTAGGCTGGCTGCTTCTAGTGCCAGGCCTAGGACCACTTGATGCAAGGTATGGGGCTCGCTGAGACAAGGTTCTGTTTGTTTGAGAGATTTTAGGAAAATCTAAAGCAGGATCCAAGACAGGCCAATCCTATGGTAAAAACCATTGGAAACAGCTTGGGTGGGCCCAAAGGTTCAGTGGGGCAGGACCTCAGGGAATTACTAGTGCTGGGCAAACAGTGTGAGCCAGGTTTTTGGAGTCCCAGATATGGCTGCTGTCTGCTGCCCCTGGGAAGAACTCAACAAAGGAGCAACGACCTCCGACAGCAAGTCAGTCCAGAAGAAAGCTGCTTCTCCAGCTCTCACCCCAATGCCGAACAGTTCAGTTCTTCCCTGTATGTCTCTGTTGCCTTTCAAGCTGCCTCTCTAAGGCTGCAGCCCAGAAGGAGCGAGTCCCAAGTAATTCCATGTATGCGTCTTTTAATAGGCCTTAGCCTCCCTCAGCCTCAGGTCCCATTGGTTTTACAGCCAGAAGTTATGGAGACTTCTCTTCCTGTCACTCAAACCCTGAGCTGGGAGCCTGGTGTGGGATGGGCATCCCTCACTCCTCAGGGATGACCTTCATAGTTGAAGTATCCCTCCTGATTGTTATCCACCACATCTGGGTGTGGGACCAACCCGTCTGCGGTTCTGCCCCTCCTACCAGTCTCAATGTGGCTTCTTTAATTTTGTAATTGTAGGACTTCCATTCAGCTCCATGTCAGGCAATTCTGAATGATATTTATTCTGTAGTTTAGTTGTAGTTTTAATGTGGCTGTAGGAGGAGATGGGTATCGCATTTACCTATGTCATGATCTTGACTGAAAGTCCTCATATTTAGCTCTTTAATTCACTTGGGGTTAATTTTTATATTTGGGGACAAACTGTAACCCAGTTTCATCTTTTGCATGTGGCTTTCCAATTTTCCCAGCATCATTTATTGAAGAGGCTTTCTTTTCTCCATTGTATTTTTTTGGCTCTGTTGAGATATCCATGTGGGTTTATATCTGGACTCTCAATTCTATTGTATCGGTCTGTGTGTCTGTTTTTCTGCCAATATTATATTTTGATTACTGTCACATTGTAGTATAATTTGAAGTCAGGGAGTGTGATACACCAAGCTTCATTCTTTTTTCTCAGGATTGCCTTGGTTATTGAGGGATTTTTATGGTTCCATATGAATTTCATGATTTTTTTGTTCTATTTCTTTATAAAATATCACTGGGATTTTGATGGGGATTGAATTATAGTTGTATATTCCATTGTGTAACATGGATATTTTAACTAAGTTGATTCTTCCAATCCATGAACATGAAATATATTTCTATTTCATTATGTCCTTTCCAGTCTCTTTTAATAATGTTTTGTAGTTTTCAGTGTATAAGTCCTTAGCATCTTTTGTTAAGTTTATTTCTACTTTATTTTATTCTTTTTGTTGTAATTGCAAAAGGAGTTGTACTTTAAAATTTTTTCTTCTGAACTTTAGTTGTTAGTATATCAGAATGAAGTGCATTTTTGTACATGAATTTTGTATTCTACAACTTCACAGTATTTGTTTGTTGGCTCAAATAATTTTTTGGTGGAGTCTTTAGGGTTCACTATATAAAGAATCATGCCATCAGCAAAAAGTGACACTCTCACTTCTTCATTCCCAGTTTGGATGCCTTTTATATCTTTCTCTAGTCTGATTGCTCTGGCTAGGACCTCCACTACAATGTTGAATAAGAGTTGTTAGAGTATGCATCTGTGTATTTTTCTTGATTTTAGAAAAAAAATGTTTTTAGTTTTTCATCATTGAATACAATCTTGGCTGAGGGTTTGTCATATATAGCCTTAATTATGTTGAGGTACTTTCATTCTATACCTATTTTATTGAGCATTTTCTCATGAATTGATATTGTATCCCATCAAGTATTGTTGTTTTTCTATCACTGGGGTATACACCTGACACTAATATAATAATGTATGTCAATTGTATTTATAAAATAAAAATGATTTGAGAGATTCCAAAATGGCAGAAGAGTGAATGGAAGGATCATAGATAATCCCCGAGGACCAAACTGGACTTACAACTAAAATAAAGACGAAGTGTCAGAAAAAAAAACAACAGAAGGGCAGCTGGAGAGGACCTGTATAACCAGGGACAGAAAAAGGAGACTAAATCTAGTCTTGTAGAAACTATAGAGGCACGAGAGGTGGGGCTGGGAGCCCACGAACAACAGCTGTTCTAGCTGTGAGCAGCTTCCTCAGGGTTAAAATCACAAGCAAACTCCATAGCACAGAGGGCTGGGACAGAGCAATAAATCAGCTACAGCCAATCACACTGGGCTCTGGCAGAGAGAGGGCAAAGTGGACTGGACTGTGTGGAGAAACTCAAGGGCTTGGAGAGCTGAGAGGGCATTGTGAGTTTTGTGTTGAATCACACCCTCACAGGAAAATAGACATATTACTCAAAGAGCCCCTTCCCTGAGCCCTGCAGAGAAGCAACAACCCCACCCTCAGGAATTTGACCAGACCAGACAAATACAAATTGATGCTCATGAACAGCCAGCAAGCATTTGTCCCACCAGCTGGAAATCC